TGCACACAGGTATGTTATGTGTGCACACAGGTATGTTATGTGTGCACACAGGTATGTTATGTATGCACACAGGTATGTTATGTGTGCACACAGGTATGTTATGTGTGCAGTGTTATGTGATGTGTGTATACAGACATCTGGGTATAAAATGTGTGTATGTATAACAGCTCCTGTAACAGCTCATTTGTTAAGGAGTTTTGATGCTCCTCAGTGTTTAAATGTGCCTTGGAACAGCTCACATCCATCTGACACATCACCTGGGTGGAGGTAGCATAAACCCTGTTATCCTGCTGCACCCATGACAATAATGTGTCTTTGGCTCTGCAGGTGTCAGTCACAGCCCGGGAGGATGTCCCCTCCTTTGGCCCAGCCCTGCCCAACCCGCCGGTGTTCCAGAAGGTAGGAGCTGAGGGAAGCACGTTCCAAGCCATAAAAAAAGTAGATGTGTGCGTCCGAGATGTTTCCAAGCGTTTCCACCTTCTTGGGGAAAACATGATTTCTGGAATTGATCTGCATTGGTCTTGGTTCCCAGTGAGGCCCTGGGGTTTATGGTGGGGTGAGTGGCCATGCACCAGTGCGTGGCATCACCCATCTGAGGCAGCAGTGGTGGCTCTGGTGCCGGGGCATCTGTGTGGGTGCAGGAGGGCACCCCAAGCCTGGCTGGGGTTTTCCACCAATGCTTCCACATCTGGAGGGGCTGCAGGGTGCTGTGAGCCCCCGTTCTGGGTTGGTGCAGCTCCAGGGATGTGAGGAGTCTTACAGCGGGTGTTTTCCACCTTGGCTCTGTCCCTGCAGAGCCCCGAGTTCCGGGAGTTCCTGCTGACCAAGCTCATCAATGCCGAGAACGCCTGCTGCAAGTCTGACAAGTTCGCCAAGCTGGAGGTAACGCTGCCCACGTGTGTCCCTGCCTGGCACCGTGCCAGGCGTGGGGAATTCCCCCGTTCCTCCTCAAAACCACCTTTCCCTGTTGGAATGGGTCAGCGCTTACAGGGATGAGTGACTGGAGTGTGACGGCCGTGAGGCCTCGCGGGGCAGGCTCTGCCCTCCAGGAGGGACAAGCCAGCTGTGCTGTCGGTGCCACTGCTGCTCCCTCGGGGCCCTGGCTGAGCCCTTCTCACTCCCACAGGACCGGACACGGGCTGCCCTGTTGGACAACCTCCACGACGAGCTCCACGGGCACACGCAGACCATGCTGGGGCTGGGGCCCGAGGAGGACAAGCTGGAGAATGGGGGTCATGGAGGCTTTCTGGAGTCTTTCAAGGTAAAGCCCTGCCCTTGCCAAGAGCAAAGCTACAAATGCGCCCAGGGCTGGCAAAGCAGATGAGCAGTGTTGGGGGGCAGGAGGTGTCCCCTGAAGGTGGGGTGGTGGGAGGAGGTGGAGGCTCCTGCCAGCACCACCCGCTCAGCCCACCAGCACCCAGCTGGCCCCAGGGGGAGCAGATGCAGGGTGGTGTGGTCCCATTGTTGCTGGTGACCTCCCCAGAGCCCGTGAGCATCTCCTCCTCCACCAGTGTGCTGTGGCATTTCTCATGTCCAGAGGGGTGTCAGTCGAGGGCCAGCCCCCAACACATGCTGTGCCTGCAGCTGGGCTCTGCTGTGACAGGGCATGTCCTGCTCCTGTCACCAGTTGCTGGATGCTGCTGTGGGACAGCGAGCAGGAGAGATTCCCGAGGTGACTACCATGGCAAGCAAGGGGGAGGTGGTGGTCATTGTGCTTAAAACAGGAGATAGAATGAAAGGGGGGGGGGGGGAGAGGGGAAGGGGTGCTGGGTGTGCTGGAGGGACCGGGTGAGTGTGAGGTGGAGCAGATGGTGTGGGCTGGAGAAGGAACAGAGGTAAAATGCTGTGGAGGAAACTCTGAGCACCCACTGGCAGTAGGGTCAGTGATTGGGTGGGCAGTGGGGACGTCCCTCGAGATGGAGGGGGAATGAGCCATGTCCAGGTGTCTGTGGTGGGGCTGCCTTGTTGTGGGGACAGGGCTGATGCAGAGTGGCCATCACTGCATGGGCAGGGGGGCTGTCCTGGCTGCCACTGTGCTGGCACAGCTCCTGCAGGTACTTCACAGGCACAGGGATATCCATAGCCCAGAGAAGGGGGCTCTGGTGGATGAGTCGCCTCATCCTGCACCTGGAGGATGGGGCCATGGAGGAGGAGTGTTCATGTCCCCAGACTGCAGTGGGGGGAGGCTCAGGTGTGTCCTGTTTCAGTGTGAGGGATGGAGCTGCTGTGCAGTCAGTTGTACATCACAGCATTCACACCAGGGGCTCAGCACTGAGGTTAAACACTCATCTTGGGCAGGCTCTGTGTGTGTGAGGAGACAGACCGTGCTCTCTTGGCATTGCAGGGAGTGCTGGGGTGGGAGGTGAGCCCCGTGGTCTGTGCTGGGCTGCGCCTGCCCGGCCGCCTGGGGCCCGCCCTGCTGGGCTGCCTGCTGGCTTATGTGCTGCACCGAGCCTTGCTGGAGTGACCAGGGACACACAGACGGTACATGAGGGCTGCGAGGGGTGACACCTGCTCCTCACGGTACCTTTTTGCCCAGTGCTTCACACCCACAACCCAGCTCACAGCCCCCCCATCCCCTTGGCCAGGGGAGCAGGGGAGCAGCTCTCAGAGGGGAGCAGAGCACATTTCTGCTGGGCCATGAGCCAGCCAGAGGTGCCTTTGCCTCTGCTGCAGGGAGGGGACCTGCTCTGTGGGGAGGGGGTGCTGGAGTGCCCCACAGAGCTCCCCAGCTCAGGGCAGGAGCCTGCAGGGTCTGAGCACCCTCAGGCACTGCTTGGCAGCAAAGCAACCGGTCACTTTTACCTACAAACACTGTCAAATCATGTATGAATTGCTGCTGACCCAAATAAATCTCTTCTGATGGACTCTGGCTTGGTGTTTGTTATTGGATGTGTAGGAGGGGCTGTTGGGACCGTGGTCTCCAGCACTGGGGGCTCTGTGAGAGCTCAGGGCTGCAGCTCCTGCTGACCCCAGTGTGGGTCTGCCTGCAGCTCCTGACCCCTGGGCCAGCAGGAAACAAGTGCCTGTGGGTGCAGTGCTGGCACCTTCAGCCATCTGGCCCACAATGGCTCGTTTCCTCTCTTTAGCCTGAGCTGGGATTCGGGCTGGAGGAGCAGCAGCCATGGCACAGTGATGGCACAGCACAGGGAATAGCTGCAGAGGGAACAGGGAAAGGTGCCTGCTGTGAAGAGTGAGAGAAGGGGGCTGCTTGATGGGGAGATGTGAAGATCAGAGGGAGCAGGGAGGGTCTGCAGCTGCTGTGGGGCCACTGCTGTGGAGCTCACCTCTGGTCTCTTCCAGAGGTGCATGGACCAAACCAGCACCAGAGCTTCAGGTTGAATGTATTCTCAAGCATTAACTCACTGGAGAACAGAAGCATTTTTGTGTGGCTGTGAAACCTCCAGCTCAGGAGCTGTTTTGGGCCAGGCTGGAGAGGTCCCTCAGTGCAGGAGAGGTGCAGGCAGGGCTGGAGGCTCTGCAGGGTCTGTCCTCTCCAAGTCCAGGGAGAGTCGTGGGAGATGTGCACACAAACATGGCTTATGATTCACGTGTGGTCCCCATTCCTGCCAAGGGTCTGGGACACTGGTCAGGCACAGGGCAGGAGGCTGGATGTGGGGCTTGTGTCTGCTGCTCCTGGTCCCACAGCTGCAGCCCTTGGTATCACGGAGCAATGGGGGGAAAATCTGATGTTGTGGTGGCTGTGGGGCTCCCCAAGGGTGGCCTGTGCTCACCTGCACCTGCCAGGGCTGCTGCTGTCACCAGTGGGGTTGTTGTTGGGGTGTGCTGGTTCTCAGGGAGGCCCAGACAGGTTGATCTCCCACGTGCCTGGGGGAGACCTGGGGCTGGGGAGGGGTTCTGGGGCCGGCACCCCGCTGAGTGGTGATGAGCTGTTGTCCCCTGTCCCCTCTGCCACAGAGAGCCATCCGTGTGCGCAGCCACTCCATGGAGACGATGGTGGGCAGCCAGAAGAAGCACCACGGCAGCGGCATCCCGGGCAGCCTCAGCGGGGGCATCGCACACAACAGCGGCGAGGTGACCAAGGCCACCTTCTCAGTGAGTGCAGCCACATGTCCCTCTGTCCTGCTGTCCCTCTGTCCCACTGTCCCTCCTCTGTCCAGCCCAGCGCAGCCCAGTGGGGCACTGTGCTGACAGTCTGTCAGTCCCCTGCATGGGCAGGGTAAAGGAGAGGGGGACACTTGAGTAGACCAGGGGTTCGGGTGCCTCGTCCAAGTTGGGCTTGTTTTGTGGAAGAACCAAAGATGAGCTGTCTGAGATTTTCAGCCCCAAAGACCAAAGGAGATAGAAAAGAAGTTCTGACATCACATGTTTTCTGGATGCGTAGGCTGGGAATCGCAGGCAGCAGGATTCTGTGCAGGCTGTTTAGTTTGTGAGCTCCCAGGAGGGAGCTGTGCTCTCCAACCCAGACTGTTCTCTGCTTTCAGCCCCCTGTACCAGCCACTGCTGCCAAGAACCAGTCCAGGAGCCCCATCAAGCGCCGGTCGGGGCTGTTCCCTCGCCTGCACACGACGTCGGAGAGCCAGGGGGAGAGCAGGACAAGGTGGTAAGTTTGTCATCGCCCTGTCACTAAGGTTAAAAGACCCTATTCAGTGTTAAACATGAGAAAAGCTGTTGGTGGGTGCTAGAAACCTATCCCAGGGTACAGCCCCTCCTTTTCACAGAACCAGCAACAAGAGCTGCCTCTGCTATGGTTGTGAAATTGCACCTTGGATCCCTTCCCTCTGTTTTAAATCAAAGTGGTGGCACCCGTAGAGCATCTGTCACTCTCACAGTTTATATTTGGTGTTGGGGAATATAATTTGACCATCCTTTTTAAGTCTCTTGTATAACTCGTGCAACCTGTCTCTTTGTGCCCTCAGTGACAGTGTTTCTGGAGCCCAGAAGACACCAGATTTGGGACATTCTTCCCAAGAGATGAAGTCTGAAACCTCGTCCAACCCTAGCTCCCCTGAAATATGCCCCAACAAAGACAGGTGAGCTGGGAGGAGTCCATCCTTCTCCTACCACAGACATCAGGGACTTTGTCAAACAAAACCATCATCACCAGGTTTTAATATAAATAAGTTTGATACTAGGGAGAGAAAAGATTCTTGTGATTCATGAACACAGCTCCCTTATGGTCTTTACAAAGAAGAGCCAGGAGCAGTGTTTGACAGAGGCTGCCCAAATCCTCAGGGCACAGGAGCTGGGGAGGCTGCAGTACCTGTCCCTCCGTGCCAAGGGGAATTCAGCTGCACCCTGGGCTTCCTGCTGGGCCACCCACCCACCACCTTATCCCACGCCTTTGGATGTGGTTGTGCACAGAAGCACCCCGACAGGTCGATCCCTCCAGCAGCACTTTGCTCCCAGGGTGGCAGGAGGGTCTGTCCCGCTGTCCCAGCCCCAGGGACGCCCTTGCCCAGTGACAGCCTGGCGCCCTTCCTTCCGTCCCGCCTCTCCCCAGGCCATTTATCAAGCTGAAAGAGAACGGGCGCTCGAACATCTCCCGTTCCTCCTCCAGCACCAGCAGCTTCAGCAGCACGGCGGGGGAGAGCGAGACCCTGGAGGAGTATGACAGCGTGGTAGGCACCAAACCCACCCCTGACACACTCCACGTTCCCTTGGCTCCCTGTGCCTCCTGACCCCGGGGTGGGCTCTGTGGGGGACAAGTGTCCACTGGGCCCCCGGGTGCTTCCTCACCTCTGGAGGGGCTTGATCCCATCTGTGGGCGTGGGGAGGAGGAGGGCTGGGGTGCCTGGTGGGACTTGAGGGTTTTATGGCTGCCCCAACCCTGCAAGTGTTCAAGGGCAGGGCTTGGAGCAGCCTGGTCTAGTGGGAGGTGTTCTTGCCTGTGGCAGGGAGGATGTGACTAGATGGTCTTTGGGGTCCCTTCCAACCCAAACCACTCTGTGGTTCTGTGGCAGCCCAGTGAACCCCGGGGTGCCCTGGGCACTGCTCAGGGTGCCCAGGCTGGGAGGTTGCTCCATCAGGACAAGCTTTCCCACCAGCAGCTGGTGGCAGGCCTGCAGTGGGGCATCAGCAGGGTGTGGGGGGAAGAGCTGGCTGCAGGAAAAGCCATGTCCCATCTCTCTGAGCAGGGAAGCCAGCCCTCCACTGCATCGCCATTCAAGCAGGACGTGTTTGTCTACAGTGCTTCATCTGGCAGTGAGAGCCCCGGCGCAGGAGCCATGGCAACCCCTGTCATCATGAGCAGGAGCCCCACAGGTGGGTTGCAGGAGGGCTGGTGGGAGGCTTTGCCTCTGGCTTCGCCCCTGGAGCCCCTGGAAGCCCCCAGGTTCCTGTAGTGGCGGGTTGGAATGGGCTCCATGGCCCTGGGATGGGGGATCCCCCTCCCAGCCTTGCCCAGGTGCCAGGGGGAAGCAGCAGCCATGGTCACCCTGGCAGGATGGGCATCCACGGGGTGCAGGGCAGCTCCCACCCTGACAGGGCTGTTCTGGAGAGATGTGTGCTCTAGTTCTGTATTTCCACGGGGAACTGTTTCCCTCTCAGTTGGAGCCCAGAGGTGGCTCTTGCTGTGGCTCTGTTCCCTCTGTCTCCCCTGGCAGCCATGTGCAGTAGTCGTGGAAACTCGCTGCCTCCAGGGGCCGAGCCATGACTCACAATTATTTAATCAACAAGCAGCTTCCCATGGTCTTGGCTCCGTTCCCCTCCTGCCAACCCGCTCACCAACTCCCTCCATTTCAGTTGTTCAGTTTGCACAGTGAGGTGCAGCTCAACACCAGGAATGGCCCTGTGCACTCTGTGGTGAGCTGGGGGATGGCCGCAGTCACCCCTTGCCTGCAGACACCCATGGCTCTGGTTCCTTGAGCCACAGAGAGCCTGTCACAGGGCACCCCCAGCCACACAGAAACACACATTATCAGCTGGGGAGCTGTTTGTGGAACAAATACAGCCCAAGGGCTCCGTAACTGGGAGCACTGTTGGCAGAGTGAGGCTGCGGAGCCAAGGCAGGCTTTTCATGTCTCAGCACCCCACAGGTCCTCCTCCTTGTTTTCATTAGTAATTTTCTGAACTCTTAAACCAGCCCCTTTGAATGTTTAAAGTGTTTATTTTGTATTTTTCCTGCCAAGAACATGAAAATCCACCCATACATTAAATGGATCAGTCATTCCTTGTAGCCTTTTCAGTGGCATTTCCAGGAGGAAGACTGAAATGTAATTAAGCCTCAATTTGTTCCACCACAAACATTTAATGTACAGCTTTTGCCAAACATCCAGCCTAGGCAGACTAAACATTGGTAGCACTCCTGATAGTCTATTGAAGTGCCTGGCTGGGTGAGTGCAGCCAGCACTACAGCAAATATTTTCGTTCACAGTTTGTTATTTTTGTTCCTTGTTTTTCCCCTCCCTCCAGCAGATGTAAAGAACAGAAACTCTCCGAGGTCCAACCTGAAGTTTCGCTTTGACAAGCTGAGCCACAGCAGCTCCAACACAGTAGGTGCCAGGGCTCTTCTGGTGGGATGCTGTGTGGGCACATCCTCCCTGCCTGGCACGGGGGGTCTGGGCTCTGGGGGAGGCTGTGGGGCCCATGAGGGATTGGAATGGAGGGAGGGGATTCTGTGATTTCTTGCCCCTTCATCTGTTCTGTTCTTTCCCGCAGAGCCACTAGCAGGAGGAGGTAATGAACCTGTCACAGGTGAGTGTTGGGGTTGTGCTGTTGTGCAGAAAGGCTCTTCTCTCCCCAGGGAGGATGAGTTGTTCTGCACTGTCCTCTGGGCACTGGGGGTGGAAAGGCAGAGCGGGTCCATCCCAAAAACCCGAGGGGAATGGCAGATTGCCAAGGTGGATTTCATGGGCAGAGGTGAAGGGAATGGGGTCGGAGTCACCCGGGCTCCTTCTCTGCCGTGAAATCAGGGGTGTCATTAGGAAGTCTCAAGCTGAGCAGAAGAGCCCATAGAATTTGAAATGAGAGGAATTTCCATTTCTGAAAGCATGAGTCTCAAAAAGCCAGGATTTTCACCCCATCACGGAGTTTCCTTCTTCCTCAGCCTGGGAGTGGCAGGTGACCTGGTGCTTTGGGGACGGGCACTGCCCTGGCTTCAGCTCCCTCCCTGGGACAGGGCTGCACAACCATCACCACAGGGGTGACGGTTCCACACTCCTTCCACACTCTCTGACACCTTTATCCTTTTCTTCTTTACAGAGAATTTTTGTTTCAACAAAGGGAAAGCTCTTCAACACCCCATGGGCCCCCACGTGCCCCAGCTGTGGGCAGTGAGGTGCCCACACCTGCCTTGCCTGCTGTGCCGGGAAGGAGCTCTCACCTTGCCACAGCCCTGCCCTGACAGGGACCAGCCACCTTTCCCCTTGCTCTACCCCTGCCCAGCACATGCCCTGTGCCCCCAGCTCTGCATGTGGGAGGGGATGTGTCTTCAGCTGTGCCACCCACACGTGTGGCCAGGGCCGTGACCCCTCCGGGTGCTGTGCTGGGTCACCCCGTGGGCACCCACGTGTGCTGTGGCTGGTGGGCACCAGCTCCTCCTGGGCAGAGGGCCAGCAGGACAGACCCCCACGCAGTTCAGTTCCCTCCATGCTATATTTGCAGTTATCGGTGGGGAAGCAGGTTTTATATAAGTTTTTTGAGGGGTAGGGGGTCAGGGCAAAGTGAGTTAGTGGCCCCAGGGCAGTTCCCTTTCTGCCATCATTTTCTGTCACTCCTCTCTGGAGCCAACAGGGTAAAATGTGCCCCCAGCACACGGTTTGCAGTGCCTCTCCAGCCACCCCCAGCTGTCTCCCCCCAGTTCCTACCCACACCCCAAAACTCTTAGGGCAGAGGCGTCCCCTTACTCCACACTGGCTCGTTTCTTGCACAAGAGATGGGTGAGCAAACTGGCCCAGGGAGCAGAGCTGGGGACCAAGGCCAGCTCATCCTCCCTTGGCAGCTTTGGCCTCCCTGCTTTGTCCCTGCCTGACGCTGAGCACAGGCCTGGGAAAGGTGACCCAGAGCTAAAGCTGTGGTGTATCTGAGTACCAGAACTGGAACCAGAGGGAATTTACCCAGTGGGATCTGCTTTGCCCCATGGCTTGGATCACCAGGCAAGCAAATGCATAAAACTCCAGTGATCTGGGTGACATTAGGCTGCTCCAGCCCTTGGAGAGTCTGTCCTGCTGCTTTTGAGCGAGCTCTTGTTATTCTGAAAGATGAGGATTATGAATTCTGCAAGGTGACTTTCCTGTGGTGCCCTTTCCCAAAAAATACCTCTCTCAACAGGCCAAGAAATCCTTTTGCTCTTTTTTATGGAACTTCTTCTGAAGTTTCCTGAAGCCTGTCCACGAATTTCACATTGCTCATAGATTTCCCTCACCCATTTTCTGGAGGACAGGCCATGATGCTGCAGAGATGCTCCCCTGCCCCCCCCACCCCAGCCTGTGACCTTTGGAAAACCCCATGAAATCAAGTTCTCAGTCTCAAGTGAACACAGTTCTGCAAATTTGTGATTCCTATGAAAACAGGACTTTTGAGTGCCAAAGTCACCCTCACACAGCCGGTGCTCCAAGAGCAACAAAGCTCCTGCCAGCCTGTGTCAGGAATTGTGCTCCTGGAGCAGCCCAGGGCAGTGCCATGGCTGGGGCTGCTTCTGTTCCCCTCTCTCTGGGGCAAGTGCTTGTAGGATCCAACCATCACCTCCCCTCCTCCCCATCACTCCCCAGGCCAGAGAGGAGCCAGGGCGAGCTGAAGCAGCCCTGCTCAGCCCGGCTCTGCAGGGAGATGCTCTCCCACAGCCTTACGATCCGGTTCTCATCGGTGCTCCCCCCCTGCTGGAATCGGTCCCTGTGGAAAGGCTGAAGCTCTGATGGGAGATGAACCAGGTTAGAGAAGGAGAACATGTTGTGAAAAGGGAGGGAATTGTTTCACTGGCACTAAGCTCTGTGTGTAGAACCAGTAAATCCCAGTAACCCCCGTGGGGATGCTCCCTCCTGCTCCCAGCCAGTTGCATTTCAGTGGAGTTTAAAGCTTGAGTTTCCTTTGGAAGAGAAGTGTGTGGTGTGCTCAGCCCAGGCCGTAGCTGTAGGTGCCTCTTTGCTGTTCAGCACTTCCCTGATGATGCTTTAGTAGCACTTTCAGACACATCCCCAGTTCTCTTAAAGCTTTGGTCTGGTTTCCTGAAGCCTCACAGTGAAATGCTGACCAGTGCAATGACTCCGAGGTCTGCTCTGGGTTTGCTTTTTCCTCTGAGAAGTCGCTCGGTTCTGTAGACTTTGTCATTCCTGTGGGTGTTGATCTCTGTGAGATCTTTCAGCAGATAATTCAGTGGCTACTGTCAGCTGGTTTGTCATTCTTGGTTGTTTTGTTGTTGTGGGTTTTTTTCACTTGAAGCTGTGACTTTCCTTTCTGACCCAGATTGATTTGGGAATGGGACTAACAGGCAGGACAGTGTGAAGCCTTAGGGAGAGGTGCAGTGTGCTGGACTTGTCTCTCCCACGGCAGCAGGGCCGGGAGCTGGGGTCTGGCATGAGGTTTGCCAGCAGCTCCTGTGGGATCTGGGACGTTTTCAGCAGCACACACTCCTCCCCACAGGCTGTAAAACCTGCTGTAATCCTTACCAGCAGCTGGGCTTTGGGTGCTCTCATCCTGGCCAGGCTTGGGCATGGTCCTGCCTGTGCTGTTCCATGCCTGGAATGTCCCAGGCTGTCCTGTGGTTCTGGGGTCTGAGCAGCGGTTTGTTACACCCCAGGGACTTTTGCACTTCCAGCAGTGGGTGAAGGTGTTCCTGTGTATATTTTGCAAAATGTTTTGTGCTTATAAGTGACACATATACATCTATACATATATAAAAGGGATTTTTATATATATATATATACATACATATATATATATGTATATAAAAGAAAGAGTCCTGAACTGACACTAGAATTACTGTGCAGTGCATTTTCCTTTCTGATCCCACTGTTTCCATGCACACAACTTCTGCCACACTTGGAAGTGACTTTGCAGAGGGAGCAGAAGGGGCTCAGAAGCACGTCAGGGGATGATGGGAGAGCTCCCACTGTGTGGGGAGGTCTCCCCTGTCACGGGGTCTGCTCCCCTTCCCACTGGAGTTTCAGTCTCCCCCTTGCTCCTGCTGCCTGGCTCAGAGCAGCGCCTGGGCTGGCTGAGAGGCAGCAGTGGGTTGGGTGCAGGTCCACAGGTCCAGCACTGGTGCCCCCAGCTCCAAGTCCTCACGCAGAGCAGGGAGGGACCCTCTCCCCTCCACCAGCATCACCTGCATCAGCCCTGGAGCTGGTGTGCAGCTGAGGGTTGGCAGAAGCTGCCACTCTGGCTCGGCTTCCATTCAGGAGAGCACTTGGCACGCACTTGCATCCTCTTGGAACCTCACTGAGCCAAGCACAGGGTGCACACCTAAGCACAACACAGAAGTGCTTTTTTCCTGGGTGAAGTGGGGGAACCTAAGCACAAACTCAGTTTCTTTCCAGAGTTTTGAGGGTCTTGAGAATGGCAGGTGAAGGGGCCAAGGTTTGTCTCTGCCATGGGTGGGCTGTGCCGAGGGCTGGCACCTCTTGGCTGTGGGAGGTGCAGCTCCCAAAGCCAGGGCAGAGCCCAGCACCTCTGCGGGTCCCACCTGCACTCTCACTGCTCTGCTGATGCTCCAGCCTCCCCTGAGCTGGCTGGGGCTGCCCCAGTCCCCCAGCATGCTTTCATCAATGAATGTAGCACTGTGTCCGTCCTGCCCAGAGGAATGGGGGATTTGTGTAAGAGAATGTGGAGAGAGTTTATAGAGGGAAAATAAATCTTGAAGAAATGTATCTGATAAAGTTTATTTTTGATGTAGAGAGGCGGTGCTTTGTAGTTCCTGGTGACCTATGTCTGTTGTAAATAATGTATATTTAATTTATTGCTATGGTAGCAGATTGTATTTGTTATGTATAAAACTAAAGGTTCAAAAATGTATATTTTGTTGCTTAAATGTGTCTTTGCAAAATTCACAATAAATAACATATTTTGTGTCCATATGTGTACTCCATGTGTGTGTCCATACAGTGACAGCTTTGGAGGAACTCTTTGAGAGCATTCCTGTGAAAAGCAGGTGAGGGCATGGAGAGGGGCTGAGCTGGGGCTGGTGGGAACCTGGCAGAGCTCACATGGAGTCAGACACTGAGGCACTGGAAGCAGAGGAGTATTGGAGCACAGGGAGGTGTAAATAGGGGCATCTGTGCCGGGGCTCCCCAGATTGAGACTGGAGCAGCAGAGGAGGAGCAGGGCCACCCTTTTGCAGCCATTTAACCAGGGGAACTGTTCTGTTTGAATTGAAATTGGTGCCCTATAAAGCTCCCTGTCAGCAGCCAGCCCATGTGATGAAGAATATAAAGAGGCAGCAATTCCATCTGTCTGAGCCAAGAGCTCCCCTCAGCCCATCAGGCTCCGGCAGCGCCGCTGTCTCTGGACATCCCCAGGGGGCTGACAAGGAAATTGGATTTTCTCTCTCCAGCTCCTTTAAAATCCCCCTAATTTCCCAGATTTCTTCCTCCCAGGGCACTAAGAAAAGAGCTGTACCTGTTTGGAGGTGGCATGTTTGGCACATCCTCGTGGACCTGCTGCTGCTGCACCCCATCCCCAGGGACACTCCTGTGGTCATGGGAGGGCTCTGCTGAGGGAAGGCTCATTACACTGCAAGGGCTCCACTCAGGTGTGTCTCAGTCACTAAACCAAGGCAAATACAGCTTTACATGTCCCTGTCCGAGCACATCCTGTCAGTCTTACAAATAATACAACCCCAAGGCCACACCATTCCCTTCTCCTCACGCTGGGACTCTCTATCCCAGCCAAAGAAGCCACTGGCACAAAGCATGAGTGGGTTCCTTCATCATCTCATCTCATCTCAGCTCATCTCATCTCATCTCATCTCAGCTCAGCTCAGCTCAGCTCATCTCATCTCTGTGTCCCTGGGGGTTCCTTCAGCCCCCCCAGCCCTGCAGTCACTGCCCACAACTCTTACTGCAGTAACAGATTTAATGAGGCAGCATTTGGGTTGCCCAGAGAAGTCGTGGATGATCCATCCCTGGAAAGATTGGAGGGGGGCTCTGAGCAACCTGATCTGGTTGAAGATATCCCTGCCCATGGCAAGGGGTTGGAGTGGGTGACCTTTAAAGGGCTTTTCCAGCCCAAACCATGCTGTGATTCCATGATTTCCTTCCCACCACACTGACTGTTGCTTTGGAAATCACTGCAAATCTAAAAGCTTTGGGAAATGCACACAGGGGACTGACTACCTGTGTCCTCACCCCCTAAAGAGCATCCCAAGGCTCTGGAGGGCAGAAGGGAGCAGCCAAGTGGCCCAATTAACCTGCTGTCAAGGGCTATGAGAGGCACCTGAGCACCCCAGGGAGGTTGGGCAGGAGGAGTCTGGGGAGGGGGACTGGTCTTTGCTTGGCTTTCAGGCTGGGTTTCTGCCACATTTCATCTGTCTGGGGGCAGCAAGGCTCTGTCACCCCAGTAAAGTGCTCCTGATGTGGTAAGTCATCCTCCTTTTTTTGAACA